ACTGCTCTCCTCAGCCAATCAGAATCGAGCTACGGCGCCTCCAGCGTGTCAAAAACCCCCGACGTAGATCCGCGTCGCCGCAGACGCGTTTCAAGCACTCGCGCTCACTCACAATGGCGAGAGAGTCTCGAGAATGAGGATGCAGCCGCACTTCTTTCCGCAACAAACCGTTAATTGCTCCTGACTACCCACCGACTCGGGCTCGAAATCACGGAGATACCTTTACGAACCCCGTCATGGCTCTTCCGGAGCGGATAGTGTGTGATTAGATGGCAGCGGTTGGTGATTTATGGGGACCGGAGCGGTGACCATGCTCGGACCCAAACCCAGCGTTGTGGACGGGACTGCAGCAGCAGCAACGGGCGGCGTTTAATAAACAAAACTCTGACAAATTAAAGCGACTAGTAGCTGAAATGGCAGGAAGGAGTCGCAGATCTTGGTTTAGCGTGTTGCTGGGGCTGGTGGTCGGGTTCACACTGGCGTCCAGGCTCATCCTGCCCCGGGCCAGCGAGCTGAAGAAAGCGGGTCAGAAGCGGCGGGCGAGCGGCGGCGGCGCGGGAGGCTGCGGAGGCGGCGGAGGGATGATGATGATGATGAAGAAGGAGTACGGAGGGGTCTTGATGCCCGGTACCGAGAAGCCCTCAGTGCCCCAGTCTAGCAGCTTTCTGTTTGTGGGCGTCATGACCGCGCAGAAGTACCTGAATAACCGCGCCGTGGCAGCATATAGGTAAATAAATGCACACGTATGAATGGTGACCGCCGTGATTTTAACGGTCATGACGGTTAAAGGGGCAGTTCACTCAAAATTAAGAACATTCACTCACCCTCAAGTTTCTTTCACTGTTGAACGCTGAGCAATGTATTTTGAGGAAAGCTTAACGTTAACCGTTGAGTTCTGTCAGTTAGAAGGGGAGATAAATACTGTGGAAGTCAATGGTTACAGGTTTTGAATAGCTGCATTTAGGTAAATAACTGCACATGTATGAATGGTGACTCCTGTAATGTCAATGGTTATGACATTTAAAGGGACAGTTCACTCATTAATATGCCAATTCACTCACCCTCAAGTGGTTATAAACATTTATGAGTTCCTTCTGTTGAATACTGAAGGATATATTATGAAGAAAGCTGAAAAGTAGGGAAAACATATACTATGGAAGTCAATGGTTACAGGTTTGTGTCCTCAAAGTATCCATGTTTGTTTTCAACAGATGAAAGTAACTTATGAAGGTATTGAGACGGGTGGGTAGATGAAAAAACAGCAGTGGCAACATATCGGTAAATAGATGCATGAAATGGTGAATGGTGACTGCTGTGTTTTTAACAGTTATGATGGTTAAAGGGATAGTTCACTCAAAAATATGACAATTTACTCACCCTCAAGTGATTTTAAACATTTATGAGTTTCTTTCTTCTGTTGAACACTGAAGGATATGTTATGAGAAAGCTGGTAACCATTGAGATCTGTTGACGGAAAAAGACTTACTATGGAAGTCAATGGTTACAGGTTTTCATCTTCAAAATAGCTACTTTTGTTGTTAACTGATGAAAGAAACTTTATGTAAAGTTTTTGTGATGGGTGGGTAAATGAATAACAGATCAGTGGCAACATAAAGGTGAATAAATGCACACGTATGAATGGTGAGCGCCGTGATTTTAACGGTCATGACGGTTAAAGGGGCAGTTCACTCAAAATTAAGAACATTCACTCACCCTCAAGTTTCTTTCACTGTTGAACGCTGAGGAATGTATTTTGAGGAAAGCTTAACGTTAACCGTTGAGTTCTGTCAGTTAGAAGGGGAGATAAATACTGTGGAAGTCAATGGTTACAGGTTTTGAATAGCTGCATTTAGGTAAATAACTGCACATGTATGAATGGTGGCTGCTGTAATGTCAATGATTATGACATTTAAAGGGACAGTTCACTCATTAATATGCCAATTTACTCACCCTCAAGTGGTTATAAACATTTATAAGTTCCTTTTGTTGAAATACTGAATGATATATTATGAAGAAAGCTGAAAAGTAGGGAAAACATATACTATGGAAGTCAATGGTTACAGGTTTGTGTCCTCAAAGTATCCATGTTTGTTTTCAACAGATGAAAGTAACTTATGAAGGTATTGAGATGGGTGGGTAGATGAAAAACCAGCACAGTGGCAACATATCGGTAAATGGATGCATGAAATGGTGAATGGTGACTGCTGTGTTTTTAACAGTTATGATGGTTAAAGGGATAGTTCACTCAAAAATATGACAATTTACTCACCCTCAAGTGATTTTAAACATTTATGAGTTTCTTTCTTCTGTTGAACACTGAAGGATATGTTATGAGAAAGCTGGTAACCATTGAGATCTGTTGACGGAAAAAGACTTACTATGGAAGTCAATGGTTACAGGTTTTCATCTTCAAAATAGCTACTTTTGTTGTTAACTGATGAAAGAAACTTTATGTAAAGTTTTTGTGATGGGTGGGTAAATGAATAACAGATCAGTGGCAACATAAAGGTGAATAAATGCACACGTATGAATGGTGAGCGCCGTGATTTTAACGGTCATGACGGTTAAAGGGGCAGTTCACTGTTGAACACTGAGGAATGTATTTTGAGGAAAGCTGGTAACCACCAACGTTAACCGTTGAGTTCTGTCAGTTAGAAGGGAAACTAAATACTGTGAAAGTCAATGGTTACAGGTTTTAAATAGCAGGATTTAGGTAAATAACAGCACACGTATGAATGGTGACTGCCGTAATGTCAGTGGTTATGACATTTAAAGGCACAGTTCACTCTAAAATTTACAATTTCCTCACCCTCAAGTGGTTTTAAACATTTATGAGTTCCTTCTGTTGAACACTGAAGGATATATTATGAAGAACGCTTTGTAACCATTGAGATGTAATATCTCCAGGAAAATATCTACTATGGAGGTCAATGGTTACAGTCTTCATCTTCAAAATATCTACTTTCGTTTTCAACAGTTGAAAGTAACTTATAAAGGTTTGTGACGGGTGGGTAAATGAATAACAACACAGTGGCAACATAAAGGTAAATAAATGCACACGAATGAATGGTGACCGCCATGATTTTAACGATTACGACAGTTAAAAAGGACCAATACTCACCCTCAAGTTTGTTACTTCTGTTGCAAGCTGAAGAATATCTGTTAAAGAAAGCTGGAAGCTACTAACCATTGAGCTCTGTAAGTTAGAAGAGGAAATAAATACTGTGGAAGACAATGGTTACATGATTTTAACGATTACGACAGTTAAAAAGGACAGTTCAGCAGAAAAAATGACCAATACTCATCCTTAAGTTTGTTTCTTCTGTTATTCGCTGAAGAATATCTGTTGAAGAATATCTGGAAGGTACTAACCAGTGAGCTCTGCAAGTTGAAAGGGGAAATAAATACTATGGAAGTCAATGGTTACAGGTTTTGAATAGCAGCATTTAGGTAAATAACTGCAGATATATGAATGGTGGCTGCTGTGATTTCAATGGTTATGATGGTTAAAGGGACAGTTCACTCATTAATATGCCAGTTTACTCACCCTCAAGTGGTTATAAACATTTATAAGTTCCTTCTGTTGAACACTGAAGGATATATTGTGAAGAAAGCTGGAAACTGTTAACGTTAACTGATGATTTTCGTTGTAGGGAAAATATACTATGGAAGTCAATGGTTACAGGTTTGTATCTTCGAAGTGTCTGTTTCATTTTAACAAATGAAAGAAACTTATTGGTTTTGAGACTGGTGGGTAGATGGATAACAGCACAGTGGCAGCATATAGGTAAATAAATGCTCACATATGAATGGTGACCGCCATGAGTTCAACGGTTATTTCTGTTAAAGGGGCAGTTCACTTAAAAATGTGTACATTTATTCACTGTCAAGGTTTTTTCTTCTGTTGAACTCTGAAGAATATATTATGCAAGCTTTGTAACCGTTGAGATGCGTACTATGGGAAAAGAAACACAATAGAAGTCAGTGATTACAGGTTTCGCATTCTTCAAGATATCTGCTTTTGTTTTCAACAGATGAAACTCTTTAATGTTTGTGACTGGAGTAAATTAATGACAGCACTGACAGCGTATAGGTGAATAAATGCACATATATGAATAGTGGCTGTGGTGATTTTAACGGTTATGATGGTTAAAGGGGCAGTTCAACCCGAAAATACAGCAATTTACTCAAGTTTCTTTATTCTGTTGAACACTGAAGATTAAGTTTAGAAGCTGGAAACTGTTCCGTAGTATGGCAGAAGACATACTATGGATGTCAATGGTTACAGGTTTTCATCCTAAAAATATTGTTGTTTGTTTTCTTTGGAAAAAAGAAACTCAAAAGGGTTTGTGAAGTACGAGTAAATCAATTAATAATAGCACCGTGGCAGCATATAGGTAAATAAATGAATGCACATGTATGAATGGTGACCGCTGTGATTTCAATGGTTATGATCAGGGGTCACCAATCCTGGTCCTGGAGGGTCGGTGTCCCTTCAGGGTTTAGTTCCAACTTGCCTCAACACACCTGCCTGGATGTTTCAAGTATACCTAGCAAGACCTTGATTAGCTTGTTCAGGTGTGTTTGATTAGGGTTGGAGCTAAAATCTGCAGGACACCGGCCCTGCAGGAACAAGTTTGGTGACCACTGGTTATGATGGTTCAAGGGACAATTCACCTCAAAATATGATGATTTTCTCACCCTCAAGTGGTTATAAACATTTGAGGTTCTTCTTCTGTTGAACACTGAAGGAAGGATATGTTATGAAGAAAGCTGAAAATCGGTAACTGCTGAGTTTTGTAGTAGGGTAAAGAAATACTATGGAAGTCATTGGTTACAGGTTTTTGGCTTTCTTCAAAATCTCTTTTGTTTTCAACAGATGAAATGAACTCATGTAGGGCTGTGAAAGGTGAGTAAAATAAATAACAGTACAGCTGTAACATAGATAGGTCCACATGAAATCTGCGTACCATCAAGTCCTTTTTTTTTTGTAAATGTGTGTGAACTTTATTTATTCAGATTTTAAAGTTATTTCAGTAATGTTATTAACAAGTATAAAAAAGTTTTTATGGTTTATTTACAGTACAGATTGTACAGTAATATTTTCTGTCTTTTAGTAGAGATATTAAATGACAGACTTGCTTTATTTACCAATTAAGTGGATCTATTTGGATTTGCATTGTAAACATTAATTTAAAGTCATTAAAGGTATTGTTTTTGTTAAATACATTAAATAATTAGTTTCAACACTCCCAAAATCATTCCGCATAAATCCGCAGATTGTTTACAAAATTCTGTGCAGAAATAGCTAAAAATGTCCGCAGATTCTGTTTGGCAATACATATACGGCAATAAATGCACACATATGATCGGTGAATACCTCGATTTTAATAGTTAAAGAGATTAAACTGGATGGTAAAATTAAAATGTACTCAGTTTCTTGCCTTCAAGTTGATCCAAATCCTTATAAGTTGCTTTCTTCTGTTGAACACGAAAGAAGATATTTTGAAAAATGCTGAAAACCGGTCACCATTGACTGAAACAAATACTGTGGAAGTCAGTTGTTGCAGGTTCTTCAAAGATATCGGTCCCAATTTACAATAAGGTTCATTAGTTAATGTTAGTTAATGCATTTACTAACATGAACAAACAATGAACTATACATCTACTACTGTCTTTGTTCATGTTAGTTAACGTTAGTTCATGAAAATACAGTAGTTCATTGTT